CACCCTGTATTTAAGAACGATAAAAATTGGTATAGTGGGGTTATAAGTGGTCCCGAACAATAATCCGTAGTCACTTTTTCTCTGAAAAAATCCCTAATAGTACTTTTCGAAATTTCGACCCCAAAAAGAGATCACAGTTGGCCATGAGTTTAGTCGTCAAAACAAGTAACATATGTGATTAAAGCCTTTTTCAGAGATATATCGAACAAAAAAAAGTTTACGAAGATCGGTTGAAAAATGCAAATTTTACGAGGGTGGTAAGGTCTTAAGCGGGACACACTGTAGACATTTAATACTAAAATAGTTATAAACTTTTGCAAATAAAATTGTTAATAACCCTCTTTAATGTATTTACCTTTTTATGTGATTTTTTGTTACCTGGGCAATTTGAATTAAAATATTTATTCTTACTATGTAAATTAAAGCCTACTTCTAATGCATTTTATTGACATTTGTTTTTTTTTTTGAAAATAATGGTAACCAATATAACCGCCCGGCCTAACAACGTGAATAATGAACTCATTATTCACGTTGTTAGGCATCATGATGCTGCAGTGATTGGCTGATTTCAATATTCACTGTTATTTGAACCAATCGGGTTTTAAATTGGAAAAAATTAAGGTTAACAGATGATAGATTTGTTTATATATACGAGGGGCGACTATAATGATCTTTAAAATCGGGGAAAAGTGAGGTTTTAATAAATTTTGTTAGCAATGAAAATTATTTAATTGGAGTAGAGAAAGCATAGTATTAGTATTATCAACATTTTAGTTTTCCCATTAAAATAAAAGGCTAGAGCTACAGGTTTATGAAAGAACAATAAAGAATTACCTTCATAAGGATTCATTGCCAAATCCCTGCAAAAAAATATTTTTAACTCCAGAGCATGCAGAAAGGCGACTAAATTTTTGCCACGAAAATGCTAATATGAACTGGGAGCGCGTCGTATTCTGCGATGAGAAAGTATTTTCCACATCCGATGACGTCCATGTAAAGGTTTGGAGGCCCCCACATACAAGATTTGATCCAAGATTTGTGCAATCTGACAGAAGAAGTGGGCGTATAAGTGTCGGATGTTGGGGGTATATGACGAACTGCAGGTCGAAATCACTGGGAGATTAGTTGGGGTCGAGTATGTTACTATACTAAGAGATATTCTTGTTTTATAATTCTGTTCCCAGAGGACCAGGTTTTAAACCTGGTCCAAGATAACAGTCCGATACAAACCTGACGGGTAGGGAATATCTTAACTTAAATTTATTAATGTCATTCCTTGGCTTGCTAAATCCCCGGACCTCAACCCCATTGAAAATTTGTGGGCAATTATGAGTCGGCAATGGATAGTGGAACGAGAAAACATCCCAAGAACTAGGGTTGTGCCTGGTCAATTGACCGCGGTCAATTGACCGAGATTTTGACCTATTTTGACCGGAGAGATTTTGACCATGTCAAAATCGGTCAAAAACTTTTAAATCAACCGCGCGCGGCGACGGCGCTACCTAACGGAAAACATCAAAACTATTAATAAAGTGTTCTGTAGTAGACCATGGTGCCATCTTAATAATGCTTTTTAAAGTTAGTTATGAAGTAAACTTGGGAATCCCAAATTGAATTTTACTCATAACCTAGCTTCTTTATATCTGTTTATATAAAGTACAACTTGAAGCTGTTGAGTGGAAGTGAAAATAAAAAATGTGGAAATTCGGAGGAACCAGCGCTAAATTTTAGTAGTGAGGATGAAATCGATGATTTTGAAGAAGGCTGAGTTCAGTGTCGAGGATGATTTGCTGTTATCTACCTATACCAGCACTGCCAGCCGTCATAAGTATTATTAGAATATTTTTAGTTTTTGTACCTCAGAATGGTTTGTTTATCTTTTGATAGCAGTTTTTCAATAAATACACGTTTCTTTTTAATGCCTTCATTTCTTTAGAAAAAACTGAGGAATTTGACCGGTGCTTAGTCAATTGACCGGTCAATTGACCAGTCAATTGACCACAAAAGATTTTGACCGGTCAAAATCCCAACCCTACCAAGAACCAAACCAAAGCTAATCAGGCATTGCTATCAGGTCTGGAAAATACTAAGAAACACAAATACTTGTGAAAATTAAAAATATATTAATATTAATTTAAAATATTATTTTTTATATAGTTTAAATTTATTTTTTTAAATATAAAAGTTTATTGTATTTAATATGTATTTTTTGTGTAGGTTAATTTAAATCTATACAAATCAATTAACCTCCATAAAAAATATATATGTATGTAAATAATATTTGAATAAAAATAAACACAAATAAAAATACACATTAACCTACAAATAATAAAAGAGCAATATAAATTTGAAGAAATATATTATATATATTTTATAGTTTTACACCTATTTATATCTAGGTAGGTATATGTTTTATATTTTTATATGTAGTTTTATAGGTATGTTAACTTTTTTTATTATAATTATATCAAACGTTTTTTTAAATCCTAGTATATTTAGTTTTTAATTTTAACACAAAATGTAAAGTAAGTTTTAAAAAACTACAACCCTTATAATATTATTTATAGCCTAAAAACTTCTTATTAAAAGTTTTTTTTATAGAATAAATGGTTATAAAACTATACAAAAATATATCAAAAAATTAACGATTTACTAAAAATACAGTTAAATATGTAACACACCAAAAATAATTAATTCAATACAAGCAGGTAGTAAATTCTAAATATAGACATGTTTTTAAATAAACCCTAAGATGCAGATGTTGACTATTTCCGAATGCCTCCGAACAATTACAATGGAGCATTCAAATGGACATTACTTTTTTCCGTAGCTGTAACTTTCTTTAGGTTAAAATGATAATAAAGACCATTAAATTGTTTTACCGTTATATCAACTATTAATTAAGTTTATACTATGCATTATCTTTAATATATATATACACTTATAAGTGTGTTGAAAGGTACTTTAATTTAACCCAAATAGTATTAATAGCTAGTATGTACTTAATAATAAGTACTTGCCTCTTAAACGCTTAATAATAGTCAATAGCGTTAAAAAACATTACACTATTTCATTTAAAAAATGCACAACTCTTTAGCCTTTCCTTTGTATCTAATTCACTCAACGAAATCCTAAATACAATAAAGAAACAGTGGCAGATGTGCTGCGCAGGTAAAGTCTACCTGCATTTTAAAGGATCAGGTGACCGGCGCGCCACCATACAAAAAAACAATGGTATTTAAATTATGGATAGAGCTGTCAAATATAGTTAACTCGCCTTTTCCTATTATGATCTAATGAGCGATTTTGAATGAAAAAAACGCAGTGGGAAGGTAGTAAGAGTGGGAACTAGCAGGCTGGTAGTAGTAGCAATGATTCATGTAAAAAATTAATTTCCATCGTGAATGAACGGAAAGATAACTTAAGTAGGTAAATATAAGATTTCATTGTCAAATAAAAGGAAATGATTCTTAATTTCGAATTAAATACACTTACCAACTTTGTTTATTAATAATAATAATTTTAAATAGAAATAGAATAGAATATCTAAATTCACCCAAATTGTGTAAGAAGTCTAAAAATGTCCAAAAACCGTCTTAAAATTATATTAATTTTTCAAGACTATACAAAATTTTATACAATGAAAGCACATTGTAGTTACATAAAAAAATGTAATCCCATGTGATCACTGTACAACAAAATCATATACATAACCTATAATGTCGCAAACTGAAGAATTTTAATGTAAACGCATATAAATGTAGTATAGACAACACGGCGGAGAAAGCATATTAACTACCTCGATTATAATCGCTCAGTGTTCGCTGCAGATCTATAGATCTGCAGCGAACACTGAGCTCGGCTATAATATAAGAGCTTTCTTCGCCTTGTAGATAATGTAGTAATATTAAATTAAACAGCATTACTATTTTCTATCAATGGATCAACCCAAAATGCATAATTGTTTCTTTATAAAATATCAATAAAGATACACTGATATTATCAAAACTTTGTCTTCTTGTATTTGACTAAACTTTTCAAAAAATTTCAAGATTGTTATAATAGTAGAAGCAGTAAAAGGATCATGCTATAAAAACTTCCTAAAATCCATCTAGAAACGAAGGTTTTAGGACCAAATAAAAAATACATTTTATGTCTGGATGGTGAGTAAGAACAAATTTCCATTTCCATTCCACATTGTAGTTCAGTGAGTTTAGTGATAACAAATTTATATTAGAAACTTTGTCTTAAATAATAGAATAGAATAATGCTTTGGTTAGGTCAGTTTTTACTTTTAAACATACTTAAGTAGTGTCTGACCTAATTCTCAAATGTGTGAACACGACATTTCAATCAAATTCAAAACTTTAAACTTTAATATAGAAACCTTAAGCTTTTGACTGTTTATAAAGCTGTTTATATCCTTAAATTTATTTTTTTAATTATGGATTTTAGCTAAGGAACCTTCTGGAGTGTAAGTAACTAAAAATTGACGCACCATATTTCATTTATTGCATTTTGGAATGAATAAGATTATTTAAATAATCTTATTGGATTTTCAGCCTACGCATAGCTACCGTGATGATTAACATTTGACATTTAAATAAAAATAAACATTACCTTTACATGTTACATGTTTGTAATATTGCAATATTCAGCCCTTTTGCTTGATGACCTTACATTTATATGCTGCTATAATTAAATCATTAATTTGATTGAAGTTAATGTTATATTTTCAGCTTATTGTGCAGTATTTATTGAATATAAAATGCCGCGGTGCATTTTGTTAATCAAAGAATGCACTCTCCTATAGCAGATGTATGTCAGGTAGTAGAGATATTTTAAGATGCAGGTGAGATGTGTAAACATTGTAACTGGTTGAATAAATATTAGAGCGGTATTAAGTTTTGTTGAGGTTGTAATTTTCTGAATGTACACAAACCGAAAGGCCGTAAAAATCAATGTTACCGCATGTCGAAAGATTCGACTAGTCGTCTTACCTTTACTTGTGTTAATGTTCCGCCGATGGCACACACGGCGGCCAGCACGGTGGCGAATCGCAGCATTTTCGCCAGGTAACCGAAGCGTTCACTCTTCAAAAGATCGGTGTTTGTGTGAAAAAAACCGTCACTAATCAACTTCTTCTTATACAGAGCGTACGCGTCAGGACGTTCGATCACTTGGGTGTATTCGCGACTAACTAACAGCTCCACCTACTAGCGGCGGGATGCGCGTGCGCCGTCGCTGCGTGAGTCATCCGACTCGGAGGCGGCCGGTGCCGAACGGCCGACATATCGGCGAAGAAAAAGAAGAACGGAGGCAGCGATGGGATAAATCAGAGGCGTAGAAGGCCGCAGAGATTTCGATTAACACGCGTTTGAATAGATTCTTTTCTTTTTCTCTGGTGTCGAGAGGTGGTTACGGGGTGGTTGAAAGGTTGATGTTGGTGTTTTTTATTATCGTATCAAAAGAAACCGAGAAAGTCCATTACCATTTTAAATGGATTTAATATTTATTTAATGTTTTTTAGATGTAACCTTAAATACAATAATTATTAAAGAGGAAAGTTAACAGTAGTCTACACAGTGCATGACTTTGTAACTAAAGGTACTCTATAAAAAGAATTAGTCAAAAATGACCAATTGCCATAGCGAAAAAGCAGCCACTAATAATTATCGTCAACAGCAATTTGTATCCCGGACATTTATCAGTCAACTCCTATGTAAAATTGTCCGCTGAATCCAAAAATGTCTTCAGAAGTTGTAAAAGTACATAGAACAGTTTTTTTAGATATAGTCAAATTTCCATATAATATGGATTATACGATATCTTAAAAACTGCTCTACTTTCATAATTTTTGACGGTCTTTTTGGATTCAGGGGACAATTTTACATAATAATAAGCTGTTAAATATCCAGGTTACAAATTTCTGTGGACTACAGGTATTAGTTACTGCCCTTTCACTTTAAAAACTAGTCATTTTTGACTAATTCATTTTTAGAGATTACGTCACTAAAAACCAGTTGTAGTTATTATATTGTTTATTTGGTTTAAAAAAAAAAATGTTTTCCTTAGAGTATTTTTATTACTAACTATTTTTTGTGATTTTGTTTGTTTGATAATTTAATAAATATTTTTTATACTTAATTTCAGCAGTTTTTTTTTACATTTTCAAGTACATTTTAATATAATATTAAAAAATATTTAATGTATTATATTTAAATATAAAAGGGGCGCACCAAAAAATGCTGCACGTAGGCGCCAGACACCCCAGAAACGGGCCTGGATAGCCTTTATCGAAAAGGAACCAAGCGCCAAAAACTTTTTACCCCATGGGGTAAACAAAATTATTTGCAAAATAACTTATTTTTAATGATGATTTGAAAACCATCTCAATCCTTTTGATTAAAGTTCCAAATGATGATGAACCTTTTGAGTTTTATTAAAAATGAGTTATTTTACAAAGAATTTTACTAAGCCCAGAAAAAGTTTTTGACGCTTGGTTCCTTTTCGATAAGCGTTATCCAGTTATAAAATCAGCTGTCAAAAATTGTGAATTAGTTTTGGAAGTTCAATAATTAATGAAAGAATAAGGAAACGGACTGGCAGACATCGAGTAGTGTAATGTGTATTGCTACTTTAAAGTCGAGTTCTTCGAAAAGTACAAAATGCTTGCGCAAGTACTTATACTATAATGTTTTTATTTGATACGGTAAAATTAAAGTCCATAAGTATTTTCTATTAACTAATAATTAAAACTTTGTTTAGACCAGAAATATAATGAAATTTTTCCTTTACCCTTTAATGATGATGATTTAATTGGAATATGACCGACCTTTTACAAAAGCGTTTTCAAAAACCATTTAAAAAAATAAACAAAGACATGTACAGAAGAAAACATCGCGGCGGCTTTTGAAGGAAACAGATAATTACAAGATCTTAAAAACGCAAAATTTAATTCGCAATCTTTAATGATAAGCGGTCTGCACTGTCTATTAGCCCCTGCAGCGGCGATAATAATAAAACAAGTCGGTGCTGAAGGGTAATGCAATCGAAACATAGTAGGTATTTAAATTTATTGAATTGACAATATAACAAAAAATTAAGTGAGGCAGGTGCGACATAAAATAAACAGTCATCTTAAGTAGATAGAAGTCATGATAAACATACTGAAAGGCTTAACGACACATTAACAATCTTTAAACAAGGGGGTAAAATATTTTGTGTTATATGTTTCCTACATTTTCAGCTTAATATAAAAACGATATTTTTAACAACTTCACATGAACGGCAATACTTCGGTAATGAAGACAAGTAAAGGTTTCGCACAGTGGGGTAAATAATTTGCGCATGTCTGTCCTAAATTCTCAGATAAGTAAAAAACGACTGGCTGAATACGGCTGAGTCTTCATTGAAGTCAGTATTTGTATTTGTCCTATTGTATGTAAGTCCTTCGGAGGGTATTTTAAGCCTGCAGTGCGTTTCTACCCCTAACCCGCACAGGCCATTCAGTTGGCTGTTGGGACTTTTTAGGAAATAAGTGTGGAACTAAAAGGGACTTTTATATAAACTTTATTTTTAACTTGTCTAATAAAACGTATAAAAATTATATCAATATATTTTTATTAAGCTTTTAATTCCATGAAAAAGGAAATCCAGAAATATTAATTCAAAAAAGAATTTTTCCTTTTAAAATCGTAATTATAAATAAAAATAATTATTATCTGAATTTACATTTCCTGTATTTTGTGTTGAGATTATTAATCTTGGGAAATTTAATATGGAGCTATACAAACCTGTAGCTATAATAAAGAAATAAAAGTTCTGGTTAAGTTGTTTCATAAACACTTTTAAAACAATTTTAACTAATCTTTTTCTTTTAGTAAAAATTGTTACCAGGTATATGTTTTAATTAAATAATTACCGTTTTTTAATAATAATAATAATAATAATATTAAGCAAAAAGAAATACAAATAATTCTTTTACACAAAAGGTCAGGGTTCGCATATGCGATCTTCTACCCTGCCTGATATAAGTATAAATACACATGCCAGAAAATTTACAATTCCAATAGAAAAAAAAAATAAAAAGAAATCAAACATTCTGTAATGAATTTTTTAGTGTTTTCTTAAAATTAATTTCAGATAATGATAACATATTAAGTGTCATATTAAGTAGCAAGGGGGCATTATATTGAAAGGATGATTTAAATTTAGTAGTTTTATGCAGAGGTATTGTATAATTATTAGTCTTTACTATAACTTGGTGTATAGATGACCTTAATATCAATATGTTAATTTTTTTTGTTAAATGCCTTTTTAAATCAAGCTTTTATTGTTTAATATTTAATATCATACACTTTTAATTAAATTTAAAAAAATTGTTTATATTTAGCAATTTATCATAAATCTTCTTATGGAACTTTTGGCCGTATAAAAAGGAATTTATGTCTTTAATATGCCTTATTTTTTTAAGATGTAGGAGGATGAAATAAAATCATAAAATATATTTTTCATAGTGCAATGCCTAATTATGGAAATTACATCAAATCTTGAAAACATTTTGAAAATGAATATCATCTATGTTTCGCCACCAATATGAACGTTTTTTGGATAGCTTTATACAAATGGCATAAAAATTGTAGTTAGTGATGATTCATAATCATTTCATTTACATTTTCTTCGGTTCTTGATGTGCTGGTACGTCGATAGCACCTTTCATTTTCAACATCTTTACGATCATCATCAAAATGTGTTATCAAAATACGTATAACACTTATCAAAAGCATTATTATATGATTATAATCATATGTTTTACATCCATTAGCTTCAGTCTTTCATAAATAATGTATTATTTAGGACGTTCTTTACATAAAGTCCTCTTTTTGTTAAAAGGACAAGGTGGTAGGAATTCAATCTTGTTTTTCTTGCTTAGGGTTTTTATAATTTTAAACCACTATTTTGGAAAACAATACTAAACCTGATGAAGAATCATACAAATAATAAAAATATTATAGTAAAACCTTGTCTTAAATTAAACTATTTCATATAAAAGCTTATTGCATAAGAAAAACGGTAGCAGCGACGAAATAATTTAGAGGCATAAAAATGAACAAAGATTTGTTTTAACTTGCCTTCGTTTCTTTTACTTTGGTGATACGCGACTGGTACAGAGTTTCTCGAAGTCGCTAAAGGGTTGGTTGATGAATTTAAGGATAATGTTATCTTCAAAAGCAGCAAAGTTTTGATCGAATAAAGAAATGTAATTTGTTTTTACTAAACTTGGGTTTTATTATTTTGACAGTTGTACATTTACATCAAGAGAAGGTTAAAATATTTAAATTATACAGGGTGTATCTAAACTGGCAAAAAAGCTCTTTAGTATGTTTTAGGGGACCCCAGAGGAGTCCATAAAATAGTAAAAAATGTCCTCTGTGATCTTAAAGGAGTTATTAAACGAAATCGTATATTCGGAAACATAGATGGTGCGCTGTATGATTTAGTTCAATAAGCATAATCATTGTATTCATAAAATCCTTTTATAAAAAAGTAATTATTGCATAAAGGTATCCCATTATTGTGGTTTTATGGCTAGATTATGATGTATGTAGGTACTGAGATACCCCAGATGTTATACACCCAATTGTCCTTACTTCTTCTTCTTCCTTGGTGGCCAAAGGCCTTAATGGTCTCGGTTTCAATGTACTATGTTGACCAGCAACAAATTTAATGTCCATGCGCTTCTCGAAGCCATCCACCCATAGACACGTGAATTTTCCAAATCTTGGATCATCCACTCAATGTATTATACAAATCACAAAATACCTCGCTAGAAGGTCAAAGCTTGCGATATTGTCCTAAAATACAGGTATATTTCTATACCCGGAATCCAATTTTGTCCCTCCTGGGTCAAAGTCAGCTATGTTTCACACTTTTTCATCGAGCGATGTCCCAGACATGAAAGTGCGATGTACCACACATGAAAGACAAAACCGAACTGAATTGTCCTTACAAAGGAACTACACGATAAAATGAAAGACAAAAGATCACGAATAAATAAAGTTTAAGTTTAATTGTTAAAGATACATTTTTTGGTCTTTTATCATACACCTGCCTAATTGTTATTTGTAGTTCCGAGGAAAATGCATATATATATATATATATATATATATATATATATAACATAAAATGCAGTGTG